AATTCAGGGTATTGCATTTATTTTTTTATGCGCTGTATATTATACATCTAGAACGAATAAATTGAACATTTATATAGTTTTTGAATTAATTACCCATAATATGTTTTCGATTTAGCAGAGAAAGCCGTATTTAATTGTACAAAACAAAAATTTTGCAAAGTATTATCCTCGATATGATTTACATGGTTGAGCTATCAGCCCATCCATAGTAACTCAGACAGGCTCTTTGAAAGCAGTTATTAATCTAGCAGTTATTAATACTATATTATAGTTAAGTCTGTGAATTTGGTTGTAACAAGATACACAACCTTAGTTAAAATGACTAAATAACTCTGATTTAACACAGTTTTAAATAGTATTAGTCAATTAAAATATCATTAACTTCTCCCTGATGTCCATAATTTATTCCCATTGAAAAGTTTGATAAGTACAAAATTCATATATTTTTGTACATGAACTTTACTTAAATGTGGATTAACTCATGATAAAGATTGCTCAATGATAGTAACCTTCTTTGCATTCTTAATGTCTTCCTTTCATTTTGCTATTTTTTTTAATTTTTTCACTGTAATTCCCCTTCCGCTATAAAGGAAATTAGCCTTGTTAAGTGATTGTCTTTAAAAGAGATTGCTGTAATTGAATTTTTCATACATACTGTAATTGAATGCAAGTTGCATTAAAACTTTTTATTACTTCTATGACTTCATCTCATGCCTTTATGAAATACCGAACTATAAAAATCATGCTCAATAGTGCATAATATCGAATTTAAAAAAAAAAAAAATTCTGAAACCCCCAAAAAATAAATACACTTTTAAAAGAATATTTTATCAATAGAAATGTGTATAAGATAGCACAAAATAGTAATAATTTAGAAAATAATAATAAAAAAGGCAAGCTAACATTTTGAACCAAATATATACAAATAGCATTCTTAACATAAAATAATTGTAACAAAATTAAATATTTATAGGATAACCGAAAGTTAATTTCAGAAGTGCTTCATTTAATGACTGTAAATAACAAAACTGATTCGAGCATTAAACCCCGCTTACAGTTTAAACTAATCTGACATTAACTCTTGATGTTGAAAATAAACGACGAAATAAATCTAATTGTATTCTCTTTAGTTTCCTGTAACAGTTATTCCTTAAATCTAGTTTATTTCAACCTTCATCAAGTTAATTACTGTAAATAACGAAGTTAATCTAGAAATTAAACATCTACATTTACATTAAAGCTATTTGACTTCAATTTAAATTAAAACAAGAAAATAATAAATGTAGATCTTTTCTCTTTAGTGAACAAAAAATGAATAATTATTATAAAAAAGCTGTATAAAAAAGCTCAAGCACTCTTAAAACATTTTTGAGGCATAATAACAGTATACTAACGTTTTTACTTAAAAAACTTTATTAGATTACCAAATTATTAAAATAGAAAAGGTCTTCTAGAACTCAAAACAAAGAAACACTCCAGACTTGTAAACGAAAATAAAATAGACTTGAAAAAGAAAACGCGAAGTTGCCTTTTAAACGACGAAAAATAAATAAGTGAGAAAAGCGTCACATAATACTGCAGTCGAAAAAACAGTGGTAACCGAAAGGAACAAACCAAGGCAGGATGCATTTCCAAACAGTATGGCAAAATAGTGAGGTACTCATCTCAGTAATTAGTGAATAATATTTAATAAAGAAATCCACAATTAAAAAGAATGTATTTGAAAGCTAAAATAAATATAAAATTGGACTTGAAATTTTTATATTAATTGTCTATAATATTATATTATGGTATTTAAAAAATTGCTTCGAAAATTAAATTTCAATTTTTTACAACGCTGTGACAGCAATTAGTTGGATTTTTTTTTGGATTTTTATAACGTGTAATGTTTTTTCACTTAAATATTGACATATACAGACATTTACTTGTTCTAAGATTTAAAATATGCAGGGTGTTCTGTAAAGATAACCCTTATTATGTATTTTTAGTCTTCTTATCTAAAATAAAAACAAAACAGAAAACACAAGAAAAAAAAACAAGAAAGAAATCTGTCAAATCACAGTACAGAAAGATGGATTAGATAGACATCCAAATAGTTCTGATTGGACATTGAAGCTTGAAGGCGTTTCCAATAATTCTCCCCTTTGTATCCTTCCGCAATCAAATCTGTCTTATTTACTTTCCACTTAGTGAATTGTGATTTGTCATATTTTATTATATTTTATTTTTCCTCGCTTTAATATTAATTTGTGACCCTCAATTCGTATACTTAATTGTTCACATTTTTAATGATAATTCAGAAATAAAGATTATAGATCACTCTGTTTATTTAAAGAACGTAAAAGTTTCACTCGTTTATTTAGTTAATAGTCAGCTCAAAATAACTAACTTATCTAAACTTAACCATTTCTACTATAAAGATTGAGGAAAATGGGAAAAGCTATTTAGAATGGTTCAATTATTTCTTACTGTTTAATTCAAAAAGAGTCCTTAATTCAGCTTTAAACTCGAGTTTATCCAAACAAAATTACATTTTCTTACATCAAAATCACCAAATTTGCATATTTGCGATACATGATACTTCATTAATATTTTTTGAGCTTAACTTCAAGTGTTTTAAAATTTAATTCCTTAAGAAGAAAAAGAAATGTTTCAAAACTTTCAGTTTAAAAGTAAAAAAATTTTCCCGCCTAGAAGTAGATCTACATTATCTAATACTTTTAAATAAACAAGATTTGGTTTCGAGAAGAGAAGAAGAAAAATTTTCACTAAATAAAATGTTTTCAAAAAAATTTTAAAATGTAATTTTTTTTAAAAAAGTGCCTGTTTACGACGATAGTATATCATTTACTTAATTTTTTTCATTTAATTTTTTTAAATTCTGAAAATGTTTTTTAAAAACATCTTATCTAGTAATAATTTTTGTCCTTTTTTTAAAAAATATTTTTCTCGTTAGTTTTTTCCTTTTTAATCTTTTTATGGGTTCTATGAACTTGAAGCTTATGTACTCGCAGTAAATAAGACTTATTAGAATTTTTTCTTAATTTTCATCGTTAATCTGCTTTTTCCTTTTTTCTCTTTTGTCTCTTTTATGTGCTTACAGTTTATTATAACAGCTTACTAATTGAATAGCATAGCATTAATTAAAAAAAGACATTTTTTAATATATAAAACTGCTGATACAGAAATGAATGTTTCTAAAGCAATTCATATTTGTGAAATTGAAAGAACGAAAAATTGAAAGTTGCTATTTAATTTTGACGAACAAACTATCCGAAAACTAACCAATTAAGTACAATTAAGTTATAATGCAGAATTTGTAAAAGTGCAGAGAGTGAAGTTTCGTCTCATCAATTATATTATTTTGAGGGTATAATGGGAGATAATTGGATATAAATATGCTATAAATCTGTTATAAATTACGAATGAAATGAAATTATTTCGACTTGAAGAGTTAGTTATAATGTCGTAGAACATAGAATAAAATGGTCAATTAAATTTTAGCAACATAGTTTAAAGTTTCCTAAAGTAAGTAATTACGTTCAAAATGTGATTTTGATTACTGAAAGGAAATTCATTAAGTTTAGTTTACATTTTTATTTTGACTAGAATAGTTCGGTAATATTGCTTATTATGCTTAATTGTGCGTTTCAATAATTTTATTTCAATCATCATTTTAAGTCAACCCATAATTTTAACTACATCTTTATTTTTAACTTTACTGTGTTTAAGCAATTAGTTTGAGACGAACGAAGCATATTTTTAATACTTTCAATACATTAATTATTTCCAAATAAATTTTTTAATTTCACTTTCTTTTTTTGATGACTTGGGGATGCTTACTGATGTTGATCCATAAAATGTTTTAAAGAACTTTAGATTAATTATAAGTTGAATAAAGTAAAAAAAAAAAATTAAATCGTTCTAAGTAAGCATATTTTCGGGATGAAACAAATTATGCTTTAACTAAAATATTTAAAAAAAAAACTAAATATCATATTATCTCTAAGTATTATGTGATGCTATTTGTTTAAAATAAAAGTATAAGTAAATTCTCAACGACTTTTGAATAAAGCATGTTTTTTCTCGAAATAAAATATATAATAAGTATTTATTGATGATACTGTCAAATTTTAAAACTAAAANATAACGACTTGTGGCTTGTTTATAAAAAAGTTAATAATAGTAACAAAAAGTAAAAAGGCACTGAAGGTTTTAATGTATTTTTAAAAGTCAATGTAAAAAAGGAATAAACAAAATGAGAAAAAGAATTTGATGGTCAAACGTCAAAGATTATGCCTAAAAAAAGTAACGATCAAACATCAAAGATTATACTTAAAATAAATATCTTTTAAAGAGCTTCAAATCTTTTTTTAAGTAAGGATTGCATTCACCATTATTTTCATGCAATAATTACAGAACTTCGCATTTAATGTTTACCATTATGTGATCAGCAGTATAATTATGCAAGATAAACTTATTTATTTTCAGTAGTGAAAGAAGAAATTTTTTATATTTACATATAAATATTTTTGCTGAGTATTTGTGTGCCGTTATTCATTTTAATAGTACTAAGTTTTGTATGCGAATGATAGAAATATTTCGTGATGGTGAAAGAAAAAGGTTTTTTTGTCAGAACTTAGAGTTGAAGTTTATTGATAGCTTTATGGTCATCTAGAAATTGCGACTGTCACGAAAATTTCAACACGCAACTTCTCTTGAGTTTCATCTGTCTATTGATTACATTGTCTTATAACTTTCACAGCTATTAATTATGTGATTTATTATTGTATAGTATTTTTAAAATTGCATTTAAATTAATGTTCCCATTTTTTTATTTGACAATTAATTAAAATTTTTACAAACTGTGTCTCACTGTATAAAATTGATATTCCTAATAATGATAAAACGGTACTTATTATAAAGTAATGCTTTTAATATAAATAATAAATTTAGATTTAAATGACTATTATTAAATTGCTATCTTTGTTTCATTTCAGGAAGTTGGAAGTATCATAGGAAAGGTAAGTTCATCATTTTTAAACTAAACATATTTAATAAATAATAAAACTCTTTTTACTTTGAATTCTAATTTTTTAATCTTTTACATCGATATATTATTGGGTGTTTAGGTTTTTAGATGTTATCATATTTTATTCTAAATTTTTGTAAAAAATATTCCGAACCTTTAAAAAGCATTTTTGGAGTAGCTATAACTTAATAACTATAACTTAAAAGCTATAACTTAAAAATCATGTTTTACAAATTTAAAATATTATCATTATGCGTTACTTGAAATCACATCTTCATCTGTAACTTAAAATTCCATCTTCATATGTAACTTAAAATTTGACCTTTATATGTAAATTAATATTCGATCTTCATGTGTATCTTAAAATTCAATCTTCATACGTAATTTAAAATTCGATCTTCATTCGGTAATTCAAATCAAATTTTTTATATTTATGAAATTATATATTGATAAGCAAATTTAATACGAGTCTTTAGATGGAACTTCATACTTAAACATTTTCATACTTAACATGAAATTTTATCTTGATATAAAATTAAAATCAAAAGTTTTTTTAATCTGAAACCAAAATCTTTTGATTAAAAATCATAAATACTTCTTTTATATAGATTTCATTCTTATGAAATACCATGCATAAAAGGTTTTGTTTGTTAATCAATAAAGTTATTGATTCTTTAAAAATGTATCTTCTATCCAAAAAATAACATCAATTTTTACTTGTTAACATGCAAATAATATTGTCTGTAAGAAGAGGTTTCATTTAACTTTCGTTTCTTTTAAAAATAATAATATAATATTAGTTTTGAAATTCAGAACATCCTACAAACCATTGCTATAAGGGAATATATATATTTTTGCCGAATTAAACATTAATAGTTCAAGTGACAGATATAATCCACCGGTTTTTGGAATTTTCAACTCACGATGTAAAAATTATTCGATTTTAAATAATTTGATTTTAAATACTTGATTTTAAATAATCGATAAGAAACTTGGGTTTTTAAGCAATTTTTAATCTTAGAAAACCTTTTGAAAAACTATTTTTATTAAAATAACTGTTTCCCATGTTTTTATCATTTTATTAACCACACTGTGAGATACATTTTAGCATTTTTATAAGTAATAAAGTATTTAAGATCTTGTTATACAGGATGTTCTATAAATTCCACCCTTAATATGTATTTTAAGAATTTATATTAAATAAGAAAAACAAAAAAGGGTGCACATTGGGAGGACAAATTAATATTTAACTTACGAAAAAATAAAAATACTTTTGATATTAGTACAATTCCAGTAGAGAGAGTTAGATGCAATAAGCAAGAAACAGGTTTAATTAGATGTTGAAACTTAAAAGGGTTTCTAATAGTTGTCATGTAATTCCTCTTTGTTTCCTTCCGCAGAAACCTGCCTTGTTGTTTCATACTATCACCTTCCTATATCAGCTTTCGAAAACATTTTTGTTTCTTTCCTCAATTAAATATTAATCAAAGACCCCAAATGTATAATCTGTTTTGTTTTCTTTTTTGATGAATATTTCAAAAATACATATTAAGGGTGGTTGGTCTTCGCGAAAAACCTTGTATAAGAATAATGTTCTTCAAAAAGGTTAAGAAATTGTCAATCTCTCTCTTGTTAGAAATTTGAAATAAATTATCTGCTTAAAAAATAAAAAAAATTTCGTGCCCTTTAAAATAAAATTATTAACTAAATAACAACATTAGCAAATTATCATCATTAACAATTATTTCTTTTCAATATTTCTTCTCTTTAAACTTTTGAAAGCATCATTCATGCCTGGTAAAATGTTATGACCATATTTTCTTTGTTAACTACTATTTTTTAATGGGAAACTATTCAACTTTTCTTTAAGTTTTGTATCTTCACGGCAGTTTCGCATTTTTATGTCCCATGTTGTATTATTTGTTGTCTACCATGTTGTTGTCTACACTGAGAAAAAAAATACTGGTCAGAACTCACAGAATATGGCAAAATTTACCTTATTTATGGCTTTATGGTCACACCAAAAAGACCAATAATATCTACCGAAGCGTTTTGATAATGATTTTGGTTAAGTTAATGTGATAAAATATGCGATAAAATTTGAAAATTTAGTAAAATTTTGTTAATTTTTCATAGTTTCTTAGAGTATGGCATAAAAACCATTTATTCGGTTAATTTTACTTTGCCAAATATATATAATGTATTTTACTAAACGTATGATAATAAGAACTACAACTTTGAAATTAAAATTTAAAATTTTTTCTGGTAAATTGTTACCATATAAACTGAAAAATTACCATATGATTGGTTTAAATACCGTACATTTTGGTTTTATCACTAAATTTATGTTATTGTTTTTTTTTTTACCGAAAATTTCATTACAATACAGTGCGGTAATTTTTTTCTCCCTATGTCTTTGAGGGCACAAGATGTAACTTAATTTTTTTTCTTCTTAAAAACTGCATTTTTCATCATTTTTATTTTAGATTGGGAGGCTTTAGGATTTTTCGGGATTTAATATTTTACAAGATAACTTTTATCACTAATCCTGTTTTATACTATTTAGTTCAAGTAATTTAAAAATAAAAGCATCTTGTAAAAAATATAATCTCTGAATTATTTAAATGTTATATAATGTCTGACAATCTCTATTCCAGTTTTATATTATTTAATTTAAATTATTAAAAATGAAAAATTTATAAAAAAACGCATGTGTCGAATTATTTTAATGTTAAATGATGTCCGACTTTGACAATAATACTTAAGAAAGTTTAAGCATGAAGGTAAATGCTGCCAAACTTATTAGATATTAAAAGTGTTAATCTGTAAAATATTCAAAAAGTCGGTTTAAAAAATACTGAATATATTCCGAATATGTACTGAATTCTTTTATTTTTCTTATTTTCGATTTTGTTACAGTATACACTTTAACAGGGATTTTTTAAAATTTAGTAAATTTGATTTTCAAAATTATGAATTATACAATCTAAATAATCCCACAAATCCCGCAAATATATCTAGCGTTTTCTGAGAAAGGGTATATCAAAATTAGCCAATTTACCAAGTGGTGGAATAGAACACCCAATCGACAAAAATAAATTTTAAGTAATTATGATATTAATTACGTATATGAATGTACAAAAAATTAGTAAAAACTTTAAGTGAACGCTAAAAAACTTTAAATTACTATTGTACACGGAGTGGTAAAATTACTGTTCTATATGGTAATGACTTTATTGGTAAAAAAAACGCAATTCTATTTAATAAAACCGATCTATAGGGTATTAAAACCAAACTATAGGGTATTAAAACCATTTCTTTGTTATTTTTTCTGAATTCATATGGTAATGGTTTATCGGAAGTTTTGATTTTCAAATTTATATTTCTTATTACTACAATAAAATACATAAATCTGAAAAATAAATTAAATCAAATAAAGAATTTTTATGTCATGATCTAAGGTATCATGAAAAAATTACCAAATTTTACGAGATTAACCAAATTTTATCACAGATTATAAAACCATATTATACTGTTATTTTTACAAAAATCCTTACCATGCTTCGGTAAAAATTACCGAGGAATTTGGCGTTCCCATAGAGATACACTATAGGAAACTTTTGTGAATCAAAAATGGAGGCAACTGCTTTACACCAAAGTGGTGTTTCACTAAGTATTTCACTACACCAAAACAGGGATAGTTCCTGGTGTAGTGAAATTCCCAGAATGTTCTTTTCACTACTTGAAGTACAGTAGCCGCCACCATGTTCTATTATAATTTATAATTACAGTAAGACGTGATACATGTACGAATCAGTAAAATTACTTTTACAATACAATCCAATGAAAGAATCATAAACTTAGGATGCATATGTACAATATTTCTTAAAGTTAAATAATTTTTTTGAACAAAACGCACAGCACAGACAGAATATTAGATTCGAAGAAACTGAAGGGAATCGAAGTTAAATATTATGAAATTATTTTATGCACTTCACCGATTTATGTAAATCTTATGAGAAAATAAATATCTTAATTATACAACTAAAAACATAGACGTATTTCATAACAATTTATATGAGTAATTTGTCAAATCAATCCAACAAAAAGATTTACAAGAGATACTAGGCAAATAATCGACCGAATTAAATTTTTTTAATCAATAAGTAAAAAAGATTAAATACTTAATTGGTATTCAATAGATTATGACCAGTTCGTCAGTTAAATCTGACTAGTCAGTTAAATCATATTTAACCTGTACACTCATGTAAATAAGCCACCATCTTGGATATTGTCAATATCTTGAAATTGTACAATCATTAATCTTCTAATGCATTTGTTACTTAAAACATGATCTACCATCATTTTAAACAAGGATTTATCTAAATGATTGATATATACACTAATTATTCATCAAATTTGAATAGCTTCAAAAATCATAACCTTCTTTACCAACGATCTGTTAATTGGTGTAAACTTTATCAATTAATGGTGTTAAAACTTAACTACACCCTTTCAAATGTGTAGGAACATTCGATTAGATATTAACTTGAAATAAATTAATCATTCACACAATTTTTAGAGATTTTAACACCAAATTCGGATTGATATTACACTGTAGCTTTTACAGAGTAGAAACACAGTAAATTTTGCCATATTCTAGTAGTTTTGACCATATTTTTTTCTCATTGTAAAAATACGGTATTATGAAATAATTCTGTACTTATAATACTATTAAACATTGAATAAGGCGGAATTATATGAGCCTTAAAAGTGAGGTTTCTTTATAACACAAGTAGAAATAACTCTCCCGTGTCATAAAATCCGAATGTTTCTAAGAGCTGTTTCAAACGTCTTTCTGGTAAACACTGTGTTGACAGAACGCTTAGCAAGTATAATAATTCTTGAAGCTCTTATTTTTAAGATGATTTTTTCTTCTTAAAAAGTTACGTTTCTGATATTTTTTTCTCCTAACATGTAAAATAGCTTTTACGTGTTTTATAATATTGAATAGAAAAAAATTCATCAAATATTTCACACTTTAAGTATTATAAAAATTAACGCGAATAATAGTTTGGTTTAAAAAGGTTATAAAAGTATTTAATTATATTTATTTCGTCTTTGAATTTTTTCCTTTTTTTACGTGAATGTTAAAATATAGCAATTAAATAAGTCCATGTTATTCATTTGCATATTATTTTTTTTTACGAAATCATACATAGCTATTATGTGAATTGTATTCCCTAAATCGCCAAAAATTTCAATAAATGTACCCAGGGTTCTACAAATCGAAATTTTTTCAAACTGCAATATTAGGATTTTTGCCTGATAAAACATTTCTTGGAAGTATTTTTCAGTCTAATTCGGGATGACAATCAATTATGATTGCTGAATTACGAATATGAGAATTTCAATTTTTTAAACATGTTCTTATCATAAGAGTATCAAAAATTAAATGAAAATTAAAATTTTGTAAAGAAAGATCGGAGAAAGAAATTTCATTTATATTGTTTCTTAATGGATAAATTAAACACATATAACTGCAATTCAGTACTTTGTGACAGAAAACTAGAACATCATTTTTTAAAATTTGTTTTTAGTTTAAAAAGGAACTTTCTTATATCATTATTTAAAAATACATATAAAGAAAAAATAATGTTCCTTAAAGGACATTTACATGGCCTTGTTTCATCAAAATGATAATATATTTATCTGAGAACATTTCTTTAAATATATTTAGCAATATTTGTTTGTTATGAAGCAACCAAATAGGAATATTTGTTTGTTATGAACCAGGTTGAAAATTATTCTTGAAATTTAGATTGAAAATTACTCTTAAAAAAATATTGAAAACAATCCTGTTTTAAAAAAAATAATGATTAAATATTATGAAATGTTTCATAAATTTCACATAGTTTTCTTTATTAAATTAAGAAAAGCCCCCAAACCTAGAACGATATTTTAAAATGGGCGTAAATTGAATAAATCAGCCTATTTGGCTAAAACTCCTTATAAATTAAGAAACAATTAACTAGTAAGAAAAAAAAAAGGAAATGAAATAGATTTTTGGCATTTGAAAAGACATGAAAACATAACACTATTCATGAGCATAATTGTTTTTGAATCTTGCTTTAAAAGTTACTTACTTATACAAGGTGTTGCCCTGTGTATTATTTTAAAATCGTTGTCAATTATTAAGTCATCATTATATGCAAATTAGGATCCACGAATTATTATTTAAGCACTATTAGAATATGTGCAACCACTGTAGGGAAATGCATCATAAGAAATATAAAAATTTTAATTACCAGGAGAAATTTAGACATGTTTCTGATAATCACTTCTTTCAGCAATCAAACTGGTTTTGATGTTTTTGAATCTCACCATTCTAAAATAGTAATTCGTCATGTTATGATTTAAAAAAAATTATTTTTTCCTTTATAAAATGCCTATACATAAAATTCAGATTTCATTTTTACTAGAAATTTAAAAATGCGTATTAAGGGTGACGAATACGGAACACATTAAATACCTTACAAATATTATTTCAAAACAATTTAAGTTTCTAAATTGAAGCTCTCATTATTTCGTATTTTTTTATAAATTCCAGCTCCTTGACAAATCAGTGCCGTGTTTATTATATACTAGGTGAAAATACGTTCTGTAAGGAATTATTTTGAAAACAATTATTAACTACTCAGTTCTATGTTAATTGCAGTTAATTTTTAATGACTTACTTACCTCGTTTTTCCTTAAACTATATAATTATTTTAAACTCATTATACCGTTAATCTTCGATTGTACCCAAAAATAGCCTCAAAACAAAAAGGGCTAAAAATAAGTCTACTGTATTTCTCTTGATCTGGCCTTTATTTATGACAGGGGCTGTATTACAAAATATATAACTGCATATGAATGCATTTATTATTCAATCAATCATCTAATGAATATTTTTATTTATTTTAGAAAGGAGACAATATCAAGAAATTCAGAGAAGAGGTAACTTTTAGAATATTTCAGTAATTTTTATTTCGTTTTCCATTTGTTTCACTAAAACAGCTGATTCTGCACTGCAGAGTGTAATACCGAACCATCGCTTGCAATTCATGAAAAGTAATGTGTACAAAATAATATTCGAACAGCAACAAATTCGTACACTTTTAAAATCATTTTTTTTTTTGCAATTACAGATGATAAAGTATTTCCAATATCACATTAAACTTAATTATAAGCAGATATGTTTCCAGATATGCGACATTGTTTAACCGTATCACGGAAAAAATAGGGAAAAGTGTTGTACCTTGGAACACTTTTCATATCTTAGTTTTTAATTTCGACAATTATTGTTTGATTTACAATATAAATATAGCCGTTAAATATACCTAAGTTTTCCTATACAAAACAGATATTTAAAAAAAAATTATCATCTACTTAAAGTCGAAAATAAAAAATTGTCCCACGATACACCATTTTACACTAGCTTATTTTATTTCAAGAACTTTAACTTTTATTCAATTTTACGCTTTCTAAAATATATTTTTGTAATTAAAAAGTCATTTAAAGCAGTTTTTATACTAGTTATAATTTTTAACTGAATGCATTTAGTATTTGTTAAACAGGTATTCGGTAATAGTCACCTAATATATGAGTTACCCATTATAAATTAGAAATTTCTCTTAGTAATTGATTTTTAAAATAGTAAGCTTTTTGCAAATATTTGCGTAGGAAAGCAAATAAAAATATTCAATAAATGGCCTATTTTTTATTATTGGTGAGATAATTGAAGTTGCTTCACTTTTATTATGAAAGACGTGACAAAATTAAGCAAATAATACAGAAATCAAAATATATAATGTTATACCACTTTTACATATTTTTAGAAACACGCGTATTTTTAAAAACTTTGCAAAAATGGACCAAATATACTTACACTATACTCATGACAAAGCTAATTTGTAAGCATTATCAAAGCTATGACCACCTGTTTACACCATTTTCTGGTTGTTTTGAAAGAATTAAGCTTTTCATACCTAAATATGGCTAGTTTTAAAATTTAAAAATTTATTTAATAGGAATAAAATATTTTTTACTTAATAATAGTAAAATATGGATCAATATTTCCTATTTACATTATGAATATTTACATTTATTCAACTCACAGGATTCTAATTCACTTCAAGTTTTCGAATTGGATGAGAAATAAATTTTATTTCAATCCCTTTGCATAGCATAACCATAGATTATGAAAAGAATATACGTGTATCAATATGATTCAGTAAATCTTAGCATTGAAAAGAATTTTGACTGAATTAAACAAAAAATATCATATTTATATTTTTTTTTAAATTTCATTATATATATATATATATATATATATCAATCGGACCGTATAAATCATCTGTAAATCAAATTTTATGTTATTCAGGCGAATAAAAAGCATTCCAGAGTCCCCTCAAGTGGAAAACTTATTTCAATGTGTCTCTACATATTAAAGTTGATTATCATGTAGCAATCTGTGTTTTCTTATTAATGTATCAAAATTGATGGAGGAAATCTATTCTTTTCAGAGTGGTGCAAAAATTAATATATCCGACGGATCCTGTCCTGAGCGCATAGTCACAGTAACCGGGTGTACTGATGCCATCCTCAAGGCATTTTCTCTTATTGCGAGGAAATTTGAAGAGGTTTGTTACTTCTTAAAAAGAAATCCTCAAAATGTCTGACTTAAAATAACAATTATTGTTTTTCTAGGATCTGCAAAACACTACTGCCGGAATCAATGTTCCGAAACCTCCAGTCACATTGCGGCTCATAGTCCCTGCTAGTCAGTGTGGTTCCCTCATCGGAAAAGGTGGCTCGAAAATCAAAGAAATAAGAGAGGTAAAATAACTACTTACGCACCATTAGAGATAACATTTGTGTTTTAGAATTATTTTTACTTTTCAAAACACCCTTAAAACTGTGATGTTATAATCTTTGAAATATGGTACCTATCTGTTTCTATAATGGGTATCCGGATGAAAACCAACTCTCTCTCCAAAGTTTCAATGAAATTTGTTTTACTTAAATATAATTGCCAAAAGTGTTATGACATTTATCGCACTGGGAGATTTGACGAACAATTTCAGTCTTTAAGAAAGGGGTATGTCGCTGGCAAATCAACAACCTAACTTACTCTTGCGTTTCTCACCCGCATGAAACTGAAATTCCTTCTTCAAGGTGTTAAAGATGTCGAAGTCACAATGTGAAGGATCTTAGTTATATGGAAAACGCCAGATAGTTTTTCAGCCAAATCTCTGACATTTTTCGGTTTCCCGGATCAGACCATCAATCCGAGCAATCCTCATCAGGCGTAATGGCCATTGCGCCTGAGGCATGATTATGTGCAAAGCCAAGATAGAAAAATCAGGCGTGATGGCCATTGCGTTGAGTCAAAATAGAAAAATCAGGCGTGATAGCCATTGCGTTGAGCCAAGATAGGAAAATCAAGCGTAATGGCCATTGCGCCTGAGGCGTGATTATATGCAAAGCCAAGATAGAAAAATATAAATTTATGGAACCCAAAAGATGTAATAATAGATGGTAGAATTCATACATAAATTAAGGAGCATTACAGAGTATTCAGTATCACTTGGGACTGTCATATGTATTGTAAACTTCGAAAAAAAGAACCAGGGGGTTTGGAACATTGTATTTAGACGACATTGTAATAATAAAATACATAAAATTAAGGTAAAATTTCATTGCGGTCGTGAAGATAGGCGAATTAAAAATATTTGAGACCATCTCAAAAATTGGTACTGCTTTAAAATGTTGTAATGTTGTAAACTGCTTTAAAATGTTGTAATGTTGTAAATGCTGTAGTGTTGTAAACCGTAAATATTGTTAACTGCTTAAAGATGCTTTAAAAAAAGGAAGAAAAAAACATAATTAATACTAATAATTTCAGAAGAAATTCGATTTCTTTTAATTAAATAAATATTCGAAGTTCGCAAAGTATGTTTTCAGAAACATTTTTATTATTTAAATTTATTTTATTTTTCAGTTTCATAAGGTTTTTTCCCCAAGGTTTGAAATAATTTTTTGTGATATTTAGTGTAGTTTGATCCAGTAGGGTTTTTAGCAATGAAGCTCTAAACTCCATCAATTTTACAAACACTCTATTTAAAAAAAAAATGTAATCAAATTGAGTAAATTTCCTATTAATCAACAGACCATTGTGGACATGTATTTAAAGAAAGAGATTCAATAACCAGGATCTTTTCTAATGAACACTTTTCGCACACGTTTAAAACCTTTAGTAAGCACCTGGAAAAATGTATGGTTATAAATAAAACAGTCTACTGTAAAAAACTGCTGCTAGTAAGTTAGTTTCGACGATGCCTTATTGTGGGATGTTTAAAATAGTATAACTAACTCTAATATTATCAAAATGTTATACGGATTTTAGGATATCATACTAAAGAGCATCGGCATTCGAGGTGCCGGTACTATCCGATGTTGCCGGTAAAATTCATTTTTACTGGAACATGTTACGGAACAAAAAAATCTGATTCAGCATAATTTTTGCAGTGATAATTACCCTGAAATCACTGAATAACTCTAATTAAAGAAATATTACTGAAAAAAATTACGGTATAATATTTTACGGTCAAAATGGATTTTACGGAGGATACACCCAAATTGCCGGTACTTTATATCGTAATTTGAACAAGATTTTTTTTTACAGCGTATGCATTAGAAAATGATGCTTGGGCATGTAAAAGTTTCATTCGGGCATGCATTTTGTAAACTACTATGCCAGTAAGGGCATGTAAATTATAGAAACAATATTCGTTTAGCGGATTTTTATGTTTTAAGACAAAACGAATTCCGTTGGAAACAGTTACTTATTTCCGTTCTGTGTTCTTCCAGGAAGTAAAAAAAATCCCTGAGTTGAAATATTTATTTCCTCTTAAAGTAGTTTTTATGGTTCAATCTGCACAAATTTATTTCCCTACGCAATTTCTTATGTTTTTATAAGACCTCGCTTTAGCCTTCTAAATAAATGCATTTAAAGGTATTAAAGGCACTGTGTACGTGGATCCGACATAACTCACTTTTCTCTTCAAGTTATCAAATAAACATTTGTACATAATACTTGATAATATAGAAACTTCATCAGCTTTAAAATCTTAAGAAGGAAGTCGACATTTCCTGAGCGCTCAAAAGTGGAAGCCCATTCTCATGATTCGCTAAACGTTAATAATAAAAAAATGTGATTTGAAACCGAAAACGCAAAGTTTCCAACAAAAAATGGGAAATAAATAAAGGAAATAATTATTGAAAAAATAATATTGTTTTTCGCCTTAATTAGTTAATTGTGAAGTTTTTATATTATCAAGTATATATTTCCGCTTCAGTTTGTTGAGATAATTCATTTAATGCCAAGATATTGTTTTTTGTTTATTGTAGGTGACGGGAGCCTCCATACAAGTAGCTAGTGAAATGCTACCCAATTCGACGGAACGAGCTGTCACACTTTCGGGTACAGCGGAAGCCATCAGCAAATGCATATACCAAATATGCTGCGTAATGATGGAAGTAAGATATACAGTCATACATTTACATTCTGAGTAGAAGATAAAAATTTTCAATGATAAAAGGTGAAATTATTAAAGAACTGTACACGTAGAAAAAAAGTTTGGTAAAATTACCACACTGTATGGTAATGATATTTCTGGTAAAAAAAAGTCATAATTCTAGTAATAAAATCAAAATATATAGTATTTAAACCATTACATTTGATATTTTTCCCCATTCATATAATAACGGTTAACCGAATATTCTGCTTTTTCAAAATTAATAGAACTGAAAAGTAAATTTAAACAAATAAATTGTTTTTTTTTTATGCTATGCTCTAAGGTATCATGACAAAATTACCAAATTTTGCGAGATTTACCAAATTTTATCACATATTATAACAGTATATTTTATCCATTACAAAAATCTTTACAAAACCGCTTCGGTAAAAATTATCTTGCTTTTTGGTGTTCCCATACAGCCAGAAACACGGTACATTTTACCATACTCTGGTAGTTTTGACCATAATTGATGTTCTCAGTGTAGATAGTATAGATGTATATGAATATGAAGAACTGTAGATATATAATTCTGACGTCACCTTTTATCGAAATTTCTCATCGACTGGTCACAAAATTGGTTTCTAAATATTGTCTTGATTTAAAAATGTGGTTAGAATAATGAAACATTAATTATTTAGTTATTTAATAACACAAATATTAGTTTTTACATGTTATTTGAGCTGAAAGACATGTGTCAGTTAGTAATTTACATGGCTAAACAATATATCATTCTCAACTAAGAGGTTTATAATTCGAGTTCTTTGATAATTCGGATGGTTAATAACTTATTTTTATATTATTTATTGTACGATTATATCTCTAACTAAATTAACTCAGATTATTAAAATATAGTTTTAATAATTACTTAATTTAGTAGGATTTATATTTTCTTAACTTATGCAGTCTATTCTCGAGATAACTTTTAAGTTTAAGCAATGAAAAGCTATTTAAATAAATATTTAAAAACTAAAAACTCTCATCAAAATTTGTGTGATTCATTATACTTTTTGAATATGCTACTGATTTCTCTGTTATTCAATAATTAATTTTTATTGAATTTTTTAAATGCTAGTTGGTTTTTAGTTACAGATGCATCATTACTTAGGAGACTTTTGGCTTTTAAATTTTGAAATTTTTTTAGAATATTTTTAGAATAACTTTAGAATAACTTAGTTGTCACAGATATTGTTTGTTTCTTTGCAAGTTTCATCTTACTCTGTTGATTTCAAATATAAAATCAGTATTTTATCAGCTTATTCCTTTAGAGATTTATTAAAAATAAAAATAAATAATTAATTTATTTGTATTTGATTTAAAATATTCGTTTGCTTTTGACGTGTACTTGATCATTAAATAAACTTCATGGACTTGCTCAATTTGAAGCCATAACAATGTCACTTTAACTTTGTCATTATTAAATTTTTAAGAAGCAAACACATGTTTACGAAGTATCTAAAAATAAAGCTAATAGAATTATTTTTTGAATTTGAAATCGACAACACCATTACCATTAGAAATTACACTGTAAAAAATTCTGAATCAAATTACGGTAAATAGTACTGGCATCTGTATGCAGCATCCATAAAATCCATTCTGACGTAGAATCCATTTTTAAAATAAAATTTTATATCGAGCGTTTTACAGTAATATTTATTTGATTGCAGTGATTCAGTGATTTTACAGTAAATATCACTGAAAAAATTACGGTATATCAGATTTTTTGTTCCATGAAATGCAACAGTAAAAATGGATTTTATAGTAAAAAATACTGTGTACCAGAGTGCCGGTACTTTTTACAGTTATTTGATCCAGAATTTTTTACACTGTAATTAAAAAAGTTTCATACCAGATTGTGTTATCATTGCAGTATCTTATTTAATATGATTTTTTAATGAAATATCAATTATTTCAGTCCCCTCCGAAAGGAGCGACAATACCTTACCGTCCAAAGCCAGCCATGCCCCCTGTAATCTTTGCCGGAGGTCAAGCTTATACAGTACAAGGACAGTACGCAATTCCACACCCAGATGTATGCATCTTTCAATTGTCACTATTTAATTTAAACAATAATTTTTCCAATTCCCAATTAAATCCTCAATATATCCCAATCCCAAATTCCCAATATAGTTCCCAATAATTTAAACTATTTTCATTCTTTATGCATTATATAGACTTATTTTAATTCATTTCTATCTATATTATAGTGTCAAGGGGTAGAGTTAATGAATCCTCAGGTAAGCTGAAATGAATAATTTTATTTTATTTTATTCTCTTATTTCGACAAAATACGTATTATGAAATACAACTTCATGTTGGGAAACTGACAACTTTTTGGGGCGAAAACTTCAACCGTATTGAAATTAGGATTTTGTCTAGGTTTTGTTCCTTAAAAACGGGTAATTAAATATTATGCGTCAAGAGTACTGATACTCTCCTTTAAATTAGATAAGAATATTTTAGAGAATCGTGCTGTAACCGAAGAACTTAATACAAAAGAAACTATAAATTGCTACTTCATTTGTTGCAGAAAGTGAAATAAATATTTTTCGACTCTTAAGAAAATCTTTTTAGGGCAATAACTTTTCTTGCAAAACCGATTTTGTACCGATTTCAGATATTTATATTGTTGAAAAATTAATGGCAATGAAAGGCATTTTTATATTTTATTTAAATATAAAAATTTAGATTTACTAAAAACATTTTCTATTAATTTTCAAGAGAGTCATTTCATGAAGTAAAATTCTTATACCATAAAGTTAAAAAATATTTTAGATGAATGCACTCTTAACAATTGTTTAAGGAGAGTCTTTCAGCTTGAGATCCCAATAGGATTATTTTTTTTGTTGTATATATATAAGACGTGACAAAATTAAGCAAANGTGATTTTGTCGTTGATCTTTATTTTAACAATGACAATATGGATTTTACTTTTTTTAATTTATGTACACATTTCTATATATATATATATATATATATATTAGTAAAAAAATAAAGAAAAATGTATGCATTCCGTAAATATTTTTTAATAACTTCAATTTCCCCTTAAATAAGATTAAAAAAGGAGAACTATTATATTATGTAGCCTTTAAAAAAATAGTTCGTAGTAATTCTGCAAAAATGGCATTTTTGCAAAATTTTTTCTAATTGCATTGAAACTTTCACACATCCTTTAAATTGTAAATGAGAGCTCGATTTGGTGGTAGTCAAAATCCAATTCAGAGAGATATTACACCACAGTTTTTGTGTGATAGTTCATGCTAAAGTTTCTATTGAATTTGCTGTTTTTCTTTCCTGATTAACTCAGCGTAATTGAAAAATCTAAAGTTATGGACTATGATAGTGACATCTTAATCTAAAAAAGAAATTGTTATACGTCATTTAATGATAGAATTAACAGCATTTTATAGCATAAGAAAGTCGTTACGCCTAAACACATTAAAGACAATTATAGATTCGTACAACAGCTTCGATTTAACACTTAAATATGCTACACATACAGGAATGTTCCGAAAAATAGAATAATGCTAATGCGGTTCGTCTTATATTTTTACGTAGCCAAGTGTTGGGTTGTCAACGACATCTGGTAGAGCAAAACGATTTGAATTTCAGACATTTATATTATTGCTACATTAATGGCAACGAAAAAAGTATATTTATTTATTTTAATAAAATATAAAAATTTCTATTCATATCAAAAATTTTATATTCAGTTTTACGAGGGTCATTTTCTGAAGCAGAATTCTTATACCATAAAGTTAAAAAATATTTTAGATGACTTTTCGGAAAACTGAGTATAATTGCGAGCTTAAAATTTTTCTGAATAATAAATGCACTCTTAACAATTATTTAAAGAGAGTCTTTTTAAAAATATTATTAGAATTTTTGAAAATTTTTTTTTAATATCTTAAATAGATATAACAATATATAAAAAAACACAAAAAAATTATCATAAAATTATTTAAAAAAATATCATTATAAATAAATTATCAATTTTTTTTAATGAAATTATGATACAATCATTAAACCAAAACGCTTTTTAAAAATGACAAAAGAGATAGATACACACATTTCAGGTTTACTGCAATAGTATTTTTAATAAAAAAATCTTCTTTAGTAATGAAATTTATAGATTAAGAAAAATACCATAAGTAAGTGGCAATTTACAAGTTACACAAAGAGGTTTTGAAAGAGGTTAAAATAACTTCTGGTGTACCAAGAGTAAAATTTATGACTGTTTTAGAATCGTAAGTGATTAAACTTTTTTGAGAGATAAAATTTGAAAGGTGAGATTGTAGGTTCGGAAAAAAACAGAGAAGTGGCCTTTTTAGACATAGTTAAATAAAATGACAAATTAAAAGAGGATTGATTTGTTTTAAAAACACCGACAAAAAAGCAAGTGTCTGGCACATTTCTGTTTAAAACTCATATTTGAACAGATTTGTCTGGGCATTTAACAAAATTGTTAAATCCTTCTTTATTACCTAACTGATATGCTTAATAATTCTATACTTGTGAAACAGGATTTAAACAAAACAAATTGCAAATTTTTATAGAAAGATAAATGATGAGGACATGTACTTCACATTTACGATCTAATATGATTGTTAAGATATTTGTTGTATATGTTGAGTATGTATCTGTTGTATTTGTATTTGCATTTGTATCAGTTGTAATGGAATGAATTATTAAGCAATACTTTTTTCAACAGCTAACCAAGCTTCACCAGTTAGCTCTGCAACATGCCCCATTGTTACCAGGCCATAGCGTCGGAACTCTTAGTCCGCAAGGTAATTCTTTGTGTAACAAATATTGTGCTATGACGGGAGTCTCAAAAATGTAGTGACTAGCTTTTAAGGGAGGAAGTCACACCATAAGGGTTAGAGTTGCGTCATGAATACAAAAATTGTTGTCTACCGTGAGAGCATCTAAATTAATGCTTCAAATTTCAAAGCTTGATAAATCATTTATTTTTTTCTAAGATTGGAGCAAATCTGAACATTATTATGGTTCAAAGAACTCCAAAATTCCTGACAGTGTGGATCTATAAATTGAAAGTTGTGTGATAGATTGTGACTTTCATTTGGAAACCACTTATTTATTTACTTTTTAAATTTTTTTCATTTACTTGTCTTATACAATGCAACATTGTTTGAAGCATAAGTTCAAAATGTCTACGTAATATGCCTTGTATTCTATTTAAAAAAAAAGACTTAAAAATTTTTTTGTTAAAAGTGTCTTTTATAGAATTCGTAAGGAATAAAATATTATTTAAAAACTTATTTTGGAATCTCAATCTTATTTAAAATTATATTTCATCATATTTTAATTATAGTTTCTTAGCATATATTATTAACGTTCTCTTTCATAATTTGCAAATATTTTAAAAATGCATTAAGGTTTTATAGGTGGATTCACTAGCTTTTAAAGTATCACACTTCTGTAAATATACTTGTTATCTATTCTGTATATTCATGTAATGAGCAAATATATGAATGAATACTGTTTTTATCTCTAGCATTTAAGTTTTCATTAAGGAAATTTATTATAAAACTGTCAATTATCGAAGTTTTAGCAGAAACTATCAATTTAAAAGCACATCAACAAAGAAATGTAAATTTTGTAAATTAAAACCGTTAAAATTTAGTGTAAATTGAAGCTAATATGAAACACATACCTAAATTTCTGCCGTTGTTTTTTTAATTGATGAACCACAAAAATTTCTCTTGTTAATCCAACGGCTACAAATGATTCCAACCTATGATGCATCAACCACTAACAATATTTTGTATTAGCACTGTGGTTAAAAAAGCCGTGATCGGTAAAAAAGAATTGCCCAACTATCAATCAAATTCGACCTCAGGTCCCAACTGGGAGGCCAGTTCTCTTTCCCTTGAGCAATTTCGACTCTGAATGCAACGTTTTTATAATAATAATTTGCTGGGTCGAAATTTAGCATTTATAATTTTCCAAGTTTTTATGCAAAGTTAAAAAAAACTCATTATAAAGACTACTCCTTCATTGCTCTTAAAATGAAGTTTCGAAATTATTGTAAGAATTGAAGTTAAAAAAGTGGTTTAGTGATCGTAAGTAATGTCAACGTAATATGCAAAAGTAATGTAAAAGTAATTGCCTTAGTGCTGCTTAGTTAATTAGAAACTTATTAGAAATTCATTACAAACATTCAACTTATTAGAAGCGTTGTTCAATTTAACAACTTATTCACAGTTAGTCAAACCTAACAACTTACTTGGGTTAAGACATCAAAATACCGATAGTAAAAAGACTTAGCTCATTCATGCCGCATTCCACACTTTCATGTACACAAGTTTTGTGTAGCGCAGTTCTCGATTCGCTACAGAGATTGTACAAAACGTACGTGAGCATGTGGATTTTACGTGAATGAGCTAAGTCTATATATTACAGTCGGTCTATCTGTTTTACGGCTATAGTTTTTCTATGAATTTAAAATAAGCTTGGAGTATTGGATGCTTCAAGTAAATAAACAGCCTGCATTAAGAAAAAAGATTAAAGGGTAGCATTTTACTATGGAATGGCTCAATAAATGCTCAAGAAATGAATAAATTAATATTTAGTACTGCAATTTTTGTTAAATTATCTAGACAGAAATTTAATTCATCCAATTATTCAACAGGATCACTTTGTATCCCGGCTTTGGCAACTTTAGCTGCAACCAATAGCTTACGACCTGGTACTGCTGCCACTGCTTTAGCAAGTGTTACGACAACCACAACAGAAATGAACATCCCTAACGATTTGATTGGTTGCGTTATCGGCAAAGGAGGGGCAAAGATTAATGAAATCAGGTAAAATTCCTTTGAAACTTTTTTTTTTTCAATTTAGACGACAAGAATAAATTTGAGTAAATTCAACACAAATAATGGATCACTCATACAAAATCACATAAGCGCTTCAGAACATCACATTGTCTAATAATTATTTATCTCATCATAATTAGAATTTCAAGCAAACTAGTGATTCGTCTCTTTCTTGAAATTGCAATTTTTTACCAGCTGTTACAAGTCACTGAGTTATTTCGGATGATATTTAGAAACTTAAAATGAAAAAAATAGATGGAAGTATTTTTTTTCTTAAGAGGATTTAGAGGATTAAAAGGATTAAGAGGATTTTTTTTCTCAAGAGGATTTTTTTTGGAAGAGGAGTATTTCGAATTTGGAGACAAAGTTTTTTTTCTTTATTTTGATGTTATTGAATACGTTTTCTTCTGATGACATAAAAACAATTTACTTAAATATATTCTTAGAAGATCAGAGACACTTTTTAGAAAACATAAAAAGTTTCCTTAGAACATTTAAACGCCTCATAACATCGCTATTGGCATTAAACATATTAAGGGATATAGATCATTAAAGAAAACCCTTCACGTAAGAAGAAATGATAAGACACAATGAGAGCTTTAAATCGATTTCAAATCGTAACAAAACCGTTACACCCGATAAGAAAACGTCATGGATGGTTCATCCTAATTCAAAATTTATTACTCTAAATGTTATTTTAACACAATACAATACAATAAACAATATTTACCAAAAAATAATGTTTCATTGCTTACATCCAGAAAGCATTTAAGCAGATGGTAAAAGTTGTTCGTAGTTTTACAAAAATAAATCAATCGTCCCATACGGGTAATTTCAATCTAAAATAAAATTCGATAAAAAACTAAGTTAGACGCTTTTATGCAGGAAAAATTTTCTGAATCTGTCTCGTAAATCCATATATTCAAATTAACATATTGAAGCAGAAATATTTTTTTAAAACAATAAGTTTTATGAAATTGGCTTCGATTGAAGAATAAGCAGTTCCGTAGAAACTTCATTCTACTGAATTGATTGGGTATAACATAATTGCAGTTTGTATGTATCATATACCACTTACTTTAATATGTTCAATCATAGCTTAAATGAAATGTCTTTCGTTATTTTTGAAGCACTCAATTTAATGGCTTTGAACTTATTTTTTTTTATATTCTACTAAATCTTAGATTTTTAGGCAGCGCATATGTTATCAAAGCAAACTAAAAAGAAAAACATTAATGCATATATAATTAATAATAATATGATGTTGATTAGAATATTATTTACATTAAAAATAATATAAGAGATTAAGATATATTGGCATGCATTCTTTTGTTTATTATTGAAAGAGAAATAATGAAATTAATTTAACTTAGCACATCATCAGAAACGGTAAATTTGAAGTCTGAATAGAATACTGTTTCTTTTTTTAATTTAATATCGAATGTTTTACTTCGTCATATAATTGACATGTTGTAAGTATGTGTATGTCAATACATATCTGGTAAATATGTCACTGTTAAATGCGAATTTAAGACTGTCGTTGGACCATTTTTATTCAAATTTCTGTTCGTGTAATTTCCTTTTGCTTAGATGATAAAATTTGCGGCCTAGACTTTACAACCAATTCAGATATTTGCCTTAAAATTTTTGAAGGGATTTTTGAAGGCAAAGATTTGTTTCCAAACACTTTAAACCACCTGCGATTTAAAGGAATATATTAGACACCGTATCACTGAGACCTACCTCAATTATGGCATGACATGGTTGAAAAAATGCTAAAAAGCAAAAATATCTGAGAATACACTTTTTTGGTGGCTGTCTTTCTGACGCTGTGTATATAAAGACATACTTTAAGACATACATTATGACATATTTTAAGATATCATAAAAAGTTTGGCCTGAAGTTCTTGTTTCATGTAACACTTAAAATGAAATTTAGATACAGCGAATAAGTAAAGATACTTTCGACTAACTTTTTTTTACCTTTAAGCATCTTAACACATTAATAACATGCTTTGAATCCGACATATTGTTTAAGGAAATACTTGCTGAAAGTCTTAAAATCATAATCTCTATAACAGGCAGCTCTCAGGTGCTACCATCAAAATTTCTAATTCCGAAGAAGGATCCAAAGACAGAACTGTTGCTATTTCGGGAACACCAGAGGCTATAAATCTTGCCCAATACCTCATAAATACCAGGTATACTATTTCAAATTTCATTATTGATTATACAAATTTATGTGAAAAATATGATACATAAAATGATGTGTTTATATTAATAAAAATTACTGTTAATGAATTAAATATAACTTTTTAAAATTCATTTTAAAATATGCAATTGTGTTTGTATACTCATCTAACATTGAAACAAATACTATGAACTGTTTAACAGAAGGAGAAAACTTCTATTGATCTTACATATTAATCCAGATTTAAAGCTTACATTTAAAATTCATTTATGTCTGTAATAGTTCCTTATAATAGTTGATGAAGCTATAAACGAAGAAACATGAATGGATATCCAGTCTTTGTTCAGAAAACACAAGATAGGAGAATGTTGTGGAGCTTTTGGAGTGAGCTCTACTAAAGAAGCTGAAGCATTTCGGCGTTTCGCCGATATCTCCTATGACCTTTACATCCCATTCACCCTTATTTCCCATTCATTTAGTTTATCACCCTGTTTGTTACACAAAACCTCTGCACGTTGCGGAAGAGCAATCCAACTTAATCGCGAAAAAGCTTTTTAAATTTATATAAATTATGTTTTGTTTATTTAAAGTACATTTCCATATATTATTTTGCTGTGATAATAAGAAAAATATTTAAATATTTTTATATGAATCAATTGTCACAAGTTTTGCTGCACAATCATTATTTAAAGACAAAACAATTAGTAGTTGTAGTACCTTTAAAAAGCATGCTACATTTGTTTCGTTTTATGATTTTTTTAAGCTATATATGCACCATCACATTCCTATTACGCTTCGCACAAAATTTGACCTCTTTTTCCTAAAATCACAAGCACTATGGTGATGGTGAATTGAATGCTTTTTCACTATTCTTGTGCATGCACTCCATTCGACTTGCAAAGTGTGAATTATTCCACTGCAAGTCGACCGATAACTACCTACTTGTTTTGTCCCATTTATTGTAGTGCACACATATTTTCTTATACAAACCTTATTGTAATTTTATTCTATTATCTATTATTTAGTTTTATAAAATCCATTCCTATGGATTAAAAAATAATTGAGGGCTAACAGCTTTTGTGAACGCACCTTTTGCACGAGCATCATCGGCTTTGCTTCTATCAAAACATTTTGCTCTTATGAAACCAGTGGTGAATCAGTCTGGTTGCCAGTTGCCCGAATGGCCCTAATTATAAAATATATTTAATAATTTAATTCACCCTAATAGCATCACTCCGCATATTAATACACAATTTCCCATACCATTTTTTTGCACGAAGCACAAAAGGAAGTTAATTTGAACCTCTTTAGCTGTTTGTGGTATCTTTACATCCTGGCAACCATCTCTTTAGACGACAGTTCTGTCACTGGATGAAACCCTCTTAGTTTCTTTCGAAAGCTGTTGGCTTTCTCCAAAAGCAATCAATGTTTATTTTTTTTCTTTCTTACTCCCTTTCCTAACCCAACTCATTCTAATCTATATCATTTGTCTTGTTTTCTTCTCTCCCCATGTTTTCACCAACCACCGATGCAGCATGGATTTGCATAAGAACCTTGACCTGACCTCCAACCCTTCCTCGACCTCTGCCAACACCATGTCGATCACCAACACCCCTCTGGCCATCCCACTCAACCAACTGGTGAAGGCCAGTCCTCTCACCCTCGGCCTCAGCTCAGCCGCTGCCGCCGCTGCTGCCGCCGCCGCCGCTGCCAACCAATCCACACTCTTTGATTTACAAAATGCCATTACGAATCGTAAATCTCTTACAACTAAACTGAAGTCAACAGCAACACACAATGGTAATAAGAAAAATCAACAGAACAAATTCAGTCCTTACTAATGAATGTGGCGCCAAAGGATATCATCTTAGTATCAGTATTATACTTATAACCCCTACTGGAGGACACTATGTGACTAAAGAAAAGAAGTAGGGGTTTTCCCCAATGAGGCCAGAAGAACATTTAAAATGGAATGTCTCGTTGGAGGATAAGTTTTGCTAGTCAAAATGCAATGGAGCTGATAAAAGACAAAAATGCACTTCTTGTAAATAGATTTATGTTTCAAATTCGTTACAGCAAATTAGTCATTTTTCAGACAGTCAAGAAATTTTGCAGTTTACACGTTTCGCTTTATTTTTCAATTATGTGAATAGGATTTATTAAGGATGCCTTATTGTTAATAGCGTTTTGTCTGTCCTAGTTGGCCTTTCATCCAGATGCAATATTTACATAATCGGACATTTATTTCCCTTTTGAAAGTCAAAGTGCTGAATGTTTTTCAAAGTTTATGTATATCGTAAAATATCTGTGTATAGAAAAACTGATTCCATTGTAATTAAACAACCAGATTTCAATGGTATGCAAAACGTCATATCACGAACACTATTTCATGAACCACTAATACAGCTTTCCTCATTTCCCACCGTGTCATTGTTACATGTAAAGAAGCCAATCAGAATTTTTCCAGGGACCAAGGTCTTTTTAATAAGATTAAAGGGTCTGTAGATCTATCAGAAAAGAAATTATTTTTGGTTGAAAGTGAACCAATTACTTTGTCTCAGCCATAATGCTCACAAATCGTGTCAAAATATATCTTTCAATGAGTGAGAATTTAGATGCTATTGTGAGAATGGTTTCAAAGTAAAATGTGACCGTAAATGGTTTTTGAATCAAGCGAACAAATAACATTTTGAATTAATTCCTCTGGAAAAGGCAGCAATTTCATAGGTAGGGAATTAGCTGCATTAAATCCTGTGTCTTATTTGATCGTAACCTAATTATACTGTCATTGTTCAAATGCTCAGCTTCCAAAAGCAACTAATAATTAGAAATAATTCTTACTTGCTAAAAAGCTGCTGTGCGAATCATAATTGTCAATTTATAATTGCAATTACTAACATCTATTTGAGAAATATGATGCTTCTCTTAATTTTATAAGATAATTCTTTTAAAAAAATATGCATTTAAAAATATTAAAGAAAGAAATATAAAAGAAAATATTAAATAAAATAAAAAGTCCACTTTAGTCCATGTCATTAAAACTGATTTACGAAACTATTTCCTCCTTACTATTTCTAAGTATAATAAAACTTGGTACACAACTATTAGACTTGTCACAGAAGGATCTACAAAATATTAGAGCCGTGAGTTTTATACTATAATTTTAAACAAAATTTAATGTAATACCGTTGTGATCAAACGCATGATAAACATGTTAAGTCAAAAGCAATAACGAACATTTTGCTTCTTTTTAAAGCTCTATATTTCCTGTCTTCAATTTTGCAGCAAGTGTTAGAATAAGAATTAGAATTTAAGAAATCATAAACTTAAAATAGGAGCTATTTTATTTTTTGTTAGCTTTTTTAAGCAAGAAAAAATGCCTAACAAATATTAAAAAAACACCCTCGAAAATGTGTGAGTTGTTAAATTAGAACTTCATTGCCTAAAAAAATTAATTTAAAAAATACATTTAATTATAAGAGTTATAAAGATTAGAAAATATCGATCGTTTTCCTTAAGATTTTAGATTCAAGTCATAATATCTTAAAACAATTACAAAACCTGACAGTTTTTTATCAGAGTTCTACGCAATCACGACACAAAATCTTTACTTGTTGCAATGCTCTACCATATTGAATTCAACTCAACTTATTTTTTATAATTTGTTCAGGTGTAATAGTATTCCATCAAATTAAAACTGCAATTTCTTTTTATTTTTCGATTTTAAGCTTTGAAGCGCTTTGTTCTCCTATGTACTAAATTTTATCATTTTTAGAGATAGCAAGGCTAATCACCATTTCCATGACGTGGAACCACCCATACGTACAACTGTACTAATTTAAAATAAAAAATACATCAATATAATAAGTGAAATTATGAAAAAATAGCTGCCATTACTTATTTTTAAATTAATTATTATATTTAATTTACGATTTTTTTATATAACTACATTTACATAAATAAAATTGTAAATATCTGTGTAGAATAAGAACACTCTTTTGCGTTCAGATCATTTCATGCTCACATTATATTTGAATTAGTTTAAGTTTAATCTATTTCTAATATTTTAAATAATAATTTTTAAAATATTTTTAGATGTGCATTAGAATAATTAGTTACTGAGTGATAACATTAAAGGTTAGCTTTACGTATTTGATAACAAATGTAAACAAATATAATTATTTTATTAAAAAAAGAGATGCCTAAATTTGCAATTTTCATAGAGGTCATTTTAAATATTGAAAGTAACTTGAAAATATTGGTAATATCAACATTTAATTAAATAAATAATCGTTCTGTCATTTTACGTGAATTAATGTCAAAATAGGGTTTGTTATGAAATTATTGTTCTCAAGTTTGAGTGCAAACGAAAGCAGATCTACATTCTCATTATTTTTAAATTACTTGCAATATTCTCATAATTTTCATAGATATCAGAGAAATTGCTTTAAGATAGTTAAAAGAAGGAAAAAAAATTATTAAAACTTCCATGTTATTTATGCATATAATGAGAGATTGATAAAGATGCTTCACAGTTTTTGAAAACAATTCAGAGAAAATTTACTTAATTTGAAATAGACTAAAAAAATATATTAAAAAACACAAATGAATTATTGAACAAGCTTATTGATAAAACATACATTTAATTTGTCGAAACACTATAATATAATAAATTTCCACAATGCATAAGATGGTCTTCCTTTCTTAAATTTGTAAGGTTTTTTTTCTTTTTCATATGCCATTATTGCAAAATTTAAAACGTAGGGTTTAATAAGATCTGTACGGTACTATCATTAAATATATTTGATAAAGTTCTATACATTTTTATCTGTCAAATATGTATCGAAATATGTCTAATTAGTTTGTGCAAATATTACTTCTGGTAAGTATTCGTTTAACCGACAACTATTTATCCGCTATACCGTTGAATCACCCGTTTACCTGGGAAATTAATTTCATATCGTTTTTGAAATTTCTTCTTTGATTGAAGTTTTTGACATTTCTTTTGAG